TCTCAAGATTTCTAAATTGTCAAGATTTATATGGAGTTGTGGTGGAACTAGTTAACACTTAGAGCTTTTGGTATGTAATGACTATTTGCTATGGACTGATATTAAATGTTTCAAAGGATTGCGTTATTAAACTTTCTGGATTTTTGTTACTCTCCTCGGATTATATTAAGTAGTTAAAAATTTCTTTGCTATATTACATTAAAAACATAAGAACTTTGGGTCTCGTATTTATTTTCACTTGTTTTACTAATTATTTACAGAACACCGTTTTAACTTTTTTATTTTATAAATGTGTAGTATTTTAAACATATCTTTAAAAATTGTTCAATTGGAACAACATTAACTTCTGATTTGTTTTTATTAGGATTTTTTAAAAAAAAACACCACCACTTTTTCCATGTTGGTGCACAGCACTTAACAGAAATGTTTGTATTCCCTTTCTTTCAATTCAATAAACAGAATAAATAACTGGAATGAATAGTTCTTAGTTTCCCTAACTTCACTTACATGACTGACTGGGATGTTAATTTCTTGATCGTTAATTATAGATTTCTTCCATATTTGCGGTATTTCACTTCCTCGCTAGGAACATTAATTTGTGGCAGTTGAGCTGAAGATGAATTTGCTCAGTGCTGTGTGCAGGCTTTCCAGTCTTTGCTGTTTGGCTCTAACCTACCCCACGCTCGTGTTTTCACTCCACATTTAGCAGTCGACCTGCCTATGTCGTGTTCTGTGCTCATCTGACTTGTTGAATGTCTGGTTCCTTCGAGGCTCCATGAAAGCCTTGATGCCTAATGTTGGAGCTCATTTAAATACCAGACAGGGGTTGTTTTATGTGATTGGTGGGGTTTTTTTGATACTTCGTATTAAGAAGGTGCTACTTGCATGCCCTGCTTGGACTTCTCTTGAACTAGAGATCAGGGACCTCCAGACTTTTGTCTGAAATTGACCCAAGCAGCTTTTGTGGCTGAGAGCTCTTGAAGCTACTCCTCAACTGGTGCCTCTGTTGCCCACAACTAACCCTGCGTTCTTGGCCCTCTTCCCTGTGCCTTAAAACAGAGCCTCATCTTTGTCCTGAGTTTTGGGCACTTGTATTCAGTTCTAGCTAATGTTCTGTTCAATAAAAAGCTGTGTGTAAATTTGCCCTCCCCTTCCTGTAGCTTTTCCAATCTCAAACTTTTTGCTGAAGTGCATTCAGTTTTTGAATTCTTTGAGCTTCTATATTGATGAGAAAAGATCTTTACTCCCTCTAGTAGCACCTATTAACTTCATTCCCTCCCTTATAGTTGAAGCAGTATATATATATATGTAATTATGGCTGAAATGCAGCTGCATACAGAAGGGGCATGCCTTACTCTTTTCCACGTGCTGCTTTGTGCTGCTCCCCTAGGGTACTACTGTTTGCAGGAGGGTTGTTAGATTGTAGAGCTACTTCAGCCATAAATGATCCATGCAGCTGATGAAGTTAGCTTTTTTGGCTGGGTTTGTTACTGTGCTTCATCTTCTGTCCTATGTCCGCCTTTAACTGGCGAGAGGTACATGATTTCTACAGAATGTGAGATTTCAGCATATATAAGACTTAATTTTATTTTTTTAAACTCTTCAGAATATTTAAAATAAATTACATATGGAACCTGAGGGTAGATAAGTATTTAATAATTAGCTTTAATCCAGACTCTGCCTGAGGTAAGGTACTTCTCCAGAGGGACATTTTCTGTTTTACTTTGTCACTTTACACCTTGGCCTGTGCTGTTTGGTGCATCTCTCTGCTGTTCTGCATGTGCTGCACAAGTGTAGGCTGACTCACTACAGAAAAGTGGCAGTCCCAGTTGCCTCCTCGCTTCGAAAGACCTCTAATGCTCTGAAGAGTAACTACCGAGCATCGTATGCCTCTCATGTTTCTGCCAAAGATAAGGTGGTAATGTACTGATAACAGCATGGTGTATCCATGTAGCCAGTTTTTTTCTACCACCACCTCTACTCTCATTGTTACCGTAATATCCTTAGAGGCAAAAACGGTCTTTTCTTACCATGTCTACAAAATCCTGGAGAGCATCTTGTGAGAATTAGATTAAAAGTACATTAAATACTGGTACTGAACAGCTGAAGAATTATTTTTATGGGCTTCTTGGGGTTTCAGGTTGATTGTTAACCTGCACATAGAACTGTTCTTAAGACTACTGGTCATACTATTAATCCCACTGATTTATGTTCCATAGTATAGAACTAATTTAGAACAAAATGGCAATTTACTAGAATGAGGAGTTAAGTATATTCTTTAAAACAATATAAATAACCAGCAGTTTGTAACTGTAATAATTAATTAGGGGGAAATATAATACATATTTTAACTAATCCCCCCCCCACCAAGTGCAGTACTGTAACAGCTGTCTAATTGCTCTGAAAGCTGTTGAATAATGAATATCTTAGCAATCTGACCAGGCTCTAGATCGTGGGTGAGGAAAAGAGCTTAATAACCTTGGTTAAACATTAGAATCCCTGTAGACCAACTTCAGGTCTATTTTCAGGAATTAAGAGCTTTCTATAAAACAGAGCTAATCATTTGAAGGGGTAATCTAATGGTCCCCTCATGAAGTTATACTTGGATGCCTTAATTCCAAAGGAAAATATATTCAGGTGAGTGAATAGGAGGGAATCTGTGTTTTGGTCTCACACCGATTCATAGTGACAGTGTTAGGTGAATTTTTATTTAATGTCAGTCTAAAGTCTAATTGTCTTGATTTAGTAAGCTTGGATGTAAATTACCCTGTTCTCCCCTGATGAAGACCCAGAATTTAAGGTGGTTTTGGTTTTTACTACTGTAGAATTTCTGTGCTCTGTGGATCTCCCATGGGACAGATGACTGTAGGACTCCTCTTTCCAGCTAATGAACTACATTTTTAGCAATTACAAATATATTTCTCCTACTGCTGACACTGAGCTCTGCGAAGATCTCTGTTAAGGCAGAAAATGACCCTGGACAGCAAGGAAAACTTCCAAATCACCGAAGTAATTACTCAGCAGAAATGTAGTCTCTGGAGCCTGCTACTGAGGTTTTTACAACTATTATAGCAAGCTGTTAGATATGAATGAACAGTGAATTTATTTATATAAAAAAGCTGAGGTGGGAAGTTTGCATGCATATAAAACATAGCTTGTTTAATACTTAACAAGCACCACATAGAAAACATATCTGTATTTTTCGGTTGGTCTACCATAGTTAGTAATTCCCTCTTGAGGAAGAAAGTGGGGAGGAATCTACAATAACATCCCTCTATGTCAGGGATACAAATTAAGACATACGCTATCCCCACTTATTTTTTTCCAATGTTTTTCTTTTCCCATATCCTTCCCTGTCCTGCTCCCATCTCTGAAGAAACATTTTCCTCAGTAGAAGAGAATAGAAGCTTTTCACAGTGAGAGATAAATTTTACCAATTACATTAGGAAACAGGTTTACTCTATCTGATGTCATCACTGTGAGGTGTTAGGTAGAAATCATTGAACACAATGTATTTTACAGATATTTTCATTAACAGTAAAGCTCTTTGAAGGCATGATTTTGAGGTAAAGATATAAAACTGCTAGTTTAAGTGATGGACTTACAGATTAACGATCATGTTTCTCAGTGTGAAATGTCATTAATGAAATTTATCTACTATTAGCGCTACAGCAAGGACTTAAGCAGCTTACTAACACTTCCATTTCTTCTAATAGATAAAATCCAAAATATGTGTAATGATTGGAGTTTTTTCCCACATACAACTAAGAGAACTTAACTGCCTAGCATGTAAGTGGGTTTCAGCTTTATAAGGCAGTACTTTTTGTAGTTTAATTTTTGTGGTGTCAAGTAGTCAGTGGCATGCAGCTGTGGTAGCTATTTCTGTAGTTAGTTCTTAATGAGCTTAATTTTCAGCAGTTTTTCCATCTTTGCAACAGCTGAACTTGGACTCCATCCATCCATCATAAATTTAAAGCCAAGCTTTTCCTACAACAAACATTGAACACGAGGTATCTAGAGAAATCGAGCTTTAGTGTTATCTTTTCACTGCTGGCCGTGATTAACATTAACTACAAGTACTTAAGAAAGAAAAGCTCCTACATTTTAGGACTTAATTACGAAACCCGTATTTTTGAAGTGTTTCACTTGATCCATTTGTTTCAAAAAACCTGTTTCTATGCACATATAAAAATTTAAAGACATTTATTGGTCAGTGAGGGTACAAACTCAGGTTTATACACTTATCACTGCAAGAGCTGCAGAAAAAAGGAATTAGGTTCATGATGTCTTTGAAGCAGTCACATCAGAATTGGGATAACTGGGTTCTGGTTTACCAGACCACCTCCCTGAGCCAGACCTATTCTTGATTCACCTCCCTGGATATGGAAACAGCAGGTTCAGGGAGCAGTAACTGCAGATAGTCTTTTGCTCTGGTGCAGTATGATACTTACTTTGTATGAAGGTCTATGATGTATTTCAATGATAGAAGTTGAAGGGAAAG